TTAATTTTCTTTTTGCTGATTTACTGACATATGGTTTTTCGTCTAAGGCAGATCGTAGTTGTTACCAGTCTGTGCAGTGGTTAATATAAAATATGGTAAATGAAAAAATTTGCTCTGATAAATAAACTGTTACACTATCATCAAGAATTCATATTACAAAAAAGCTAAAAAGTTGACGAACGGAACATAATTCATACTAATATGAAAAGCAATCTATGTGAATCAAAAGAAAGTGAGTATTAGAAAAGTCAATGTTTCATAAAAATCTTCTACTTCTGATGTCTCTCTTTCATTTTACACACAGCCTCGTTTACACACAGCAACGGTTTCGTTTTTCAAATTTTAAAAGTAACTTTGTAGTGACAGAATTAAATAATGCAAGGCCTAATTTTTCTCCAAATGAAAATTGACACAAAGAAGCAGATATAGTATATCAATTCGACTTCCAGTCACATTTTGACCTGCAGATTCGGATTAAGAGCACGGATTTTAGTCTACTTGGAAGTTCTCATCATGTTATTGTTTATGATATTGATTTTATGACGACATAAAGATAAAAATTTGACCGTGATTGGTGACTAGGGGGGTAAAGTTACTGTGAGGTTTGGAGAAATTTCTAAAATGAGGCCATAGTTTGAATTGGTGTATTCAGCCAAAAAGGTGTTTGGCGAATATAGGGGTTAATCCTGTAAATTTAGCCAGAGAGATTTACCAAACTTTGTAAGACAAAAAATGTGATTTTTTTGTATTGAAATTTGTATCTCTCTAAAGGAAAAAGATCCAGCGTGTAAGCATAGACAGATGGGGACTTTTGTTTTCGTTTCATTTAATTCAATTTTTTATATGAGGTAAAACCCATCCACTTGGAGGACTCTGTAGCGAAGGTGGAGTCAAACTTGCAATAAAAGTAAGCCAAAAAGAGAAAAACCTAAAATTGTAATTTTGTGGGTTGAGATGAATTTCATTTAAGCCCCTAACAAAGTTTCTCATTAAGCCCCAAGAAAAGATGGAATCTCGAAAATAGGGTCTTAACAATATCCGTAGACACGTGACCTCGTTTAGCGGATACATATGATCCAAATTTCATGGAAAATATATACGAACTTGTTGTGTTACAGTCAGATTCGGATAATTTCAATACATTGTTCAACTTGCTTTGATTGTCTTTTATGGGAAAAAGGATTAGATTCCCACGCGTGTAAACATAGCGGATACTTTCAGCAAACTAGCTCCTAGCGTTGTTTATTTTTTGTTGATTTTCTTTACAATTTGCAGCGAATGTCTCCTTTGAAGTGTTTATATTTTATTCAAAAGGTAGATGATTTGTTTTACGGATTTCGCAGTAATACTAAGGGATAAGTCAGGCTTTGCTCCCAAATACCATCGGCGTAGCTTATGAAGCTCTAAGTTTACATAAATTCAATGCGTTTATCGCTAGAATTTCGTCAAATATACATATTTTATGCCTGAAAGAGTTTCCCGACTACCTGTTATTTTCGAGGTCGAGTATCAGTGCAGCCAGAGTTTAGCATCAAAAACCCAAGCTGTTTGCTTGTTCAAGAGTTAATACCATATGTTTTGAGTCCTACAGCTTTCCATGTGTCAAAATATGTTTTATAGTATTCGTGTTTATTATTCGTGTTCATTTTTCTAGTATTTATTATTAGATATATTCCTGATTGGGACTATGTATCCGCGATCTGCGTCAGAGTATACAGTTCTAGGGGTCTCTGCTCGAATTCTTGGCAACAAAAACTTTCCTTAAAGGTTAGGAGAGTCGTCAGCTCTCTATAATTATAGGCATGGAAAGCATGAGGTGTGGTTAGGCTGAGAGAAAGGACCTAAACATTCGCATAGCTACTCAATGTCTCAAAAACTAACTTCGGATGCTAGTTAGATAGAAACCACGCAATATTTAGGTCGGGAGGTATTTAGCCATGCCAAGATCAGTAAAGTCAATCCATAATCATGGTAACAATATTAAAATCAGTATAACCGATGCAGAGTCTACTCCTGGATGATGTTCAGCTATGGTTAAAAATTTTGATTGCAATGTGGAGTATTTAATGGACTTTTGAAGCTATCGCCCTTCCAAGGCTCTGAGTTTAATTCTGTTGTATTCTAACTACGGTGTATATGCTGGATTCTAAGGTTTGTGTAGAATATACCGTATTCTAACAAATTTTCAGCATTTAAAAGTTTTTTCATTTGTTTTTGCTGACCCTTGTACTGTTTATTGACGTGTCTAAAAATGGCGAGCACTGTGTTTTAAAAAAGCACCGTTGGCATGGACATACCCTGCACTTTGTCGGCAACTGTGTGGCCAGCATTCCTCAAGAGAATTCGCGAAAATTTACTGCGTCGCCTTGGGGCTTCTTAAAAGTCTTTAAATTAAAGTAAATACGCCAGCTATTTGTTTTCGTAAATATTTTAAACCTTCTTAAAGCCAATCACCCTGGGAATATTATTGTAAATGTTCAGCGCATCATTATCCATCTGGGATTCTGTTTCATGATAATTTCAACTTATTTTTGGTCCTAATTCGCTCTTCCATATATAGTTTTTAATGCAAATTTTTACCATCTGTAAATTGTCTTTCAACTGAATCAATTTTATTCTAATAAAATGTAATCACTTTATTGATATATATTGCAATAAATATTTAAATAAAATCTTAGTTTTTTTCCATCTTGCTTTGAAAAAAGCAAACATTTTACAACATACTGTAAGCTTTTTCGCCTAACACTCTTCAGAGTCTATAGAACATCAGAACATAGATCACAACACTACGCTAGGAAATAAATGTACCCAGTTGTGGATCAAAATAGGCCAATCTGAAAAGTGCGAGCATTGGATCGGTATAGTTGTCCAATTAGTACCGCGTGCTTATAGGAAAATTACCACTGGAGTCCAAGAGACAAAACGAACGTCTTTTTGACACTGATTTTGACGTTTTCTAATCTGAGGAGTGTCAGACAAAAAAGCTTCAAATATATTGCAAAATGTTTGTTTTTTTCAAAGCCATTTTCAACTTTCGTACCGCTAAAAATTTATTCAGTTATTTTTTCATTGTTTTCTTTTGTTTCTGCATAATTTGTATGTACAATTATGCATATTCCATATAATTTGTTTTTATATTTCTACATATCCATATTATATATTTATTTTTATATTAACCAGTTAGTATATGTTCCTATCTTTTACTTACATTAAGTTATCTGTCTGTACTGACATCTACATGTTCTTTTCTTGTTGGTTTAATCAAAATCAATTGCTAAAACACAAAGTTAAAGTGTAGTTTGTAAGTTTAAATTGTGTTGTTGCCAAGGTAAATCGATTTCATTTTGATTCCAACATATCTTTACATGGTAAAAACTCAAATTTGAACTGACTTACGATTGGCCTTGTTTAAAAAAATAGTTATAACAATATTTGTTACTTTTGAGTAAAGACTTAACATTTAATTTTAAACACAATAAAAAGTGAAATAAGAATAAGGGTGGCTGGAGCCTTTTTCCGAAGTTTTTCAGTCTTTTTAAAGTATAAATTACAAGCACCATCTTAGCATTGAGCTTAGCTGTGGCTTTAGAGTCTGGTCACACAATGTAAGAGATATTTTTCCTGTTCTTCTTTCGCGACGGCGGAACATGAAGTTCAGTTTGCCTAAAGGGCCTGAATGCAGCTTGTTAAGGGTCACAAGTTGGTTTTTTTCAGTCAAAAATATTCCAACGGCGTAACATATATTTCAAGTATTCTTATATTCATATATTAACATGGCTTTTCACCCGGCAAATGGTAGACTTCCCCAAAGTCCATATTTGTTAAATCCGTAAGGCCTTTTCACTCTGCAAGGGCAAATCTAAACTGCGAAGGAGACTAAACTGTGAAGGAGACTCAACTGTGAAGGAGACTAAACTGCGAAGGAGATGATAGGCAAATGGCAAACTTGTGATCGGCATTAATTAGAACATCAGCCTGGTACTGGGTACTCTGAGGATATTTCCTAGGGACTCCCTTTATCAAAAGGGCCTGGGTCTGTCCTTGTCTTTTCAGTTAACAGAGGGGGGAATTAACGCTGTCAACGACACGACAGAGGATAATTTCACCTCCTGAATTCTTGGCGCTACATCTGCTTAATTTTCACAGATGGTTTCTCGTCGTTTACATCAACATTGCAATCCGATTTTGTTTTCTTAACAATAAGAACTAAAACGAATTCTCGAGCTTCGAGAAACATTTCATTAATTATTACATTTCCGAATGGCAAGCGGGATTGTATTAAGACGTCATTTTTGTCGTCAATCGTATTTTTTGAAAATTCCTCCATTTTCTATTCAATTTTTGTCTCCTTATTAGTCATTGTCTATAGTAAACATGACACGAGATCTTTTGGAGTTCGTCTTACTGTGCATATGTGATGACTTACAACTAACTTGCAATGCTGGTGGCGGCTTTGGTAATTTCATCTCGATTATAATGAAAGGATTAGAGGCAGATGTTTTGGCATCCACGGCATACCGTCTAGTCAGCCTTGGCCAAAATTGTGGATGCAAAATAAGTGTTTACTCTGAAAACATGAAATAAAGATAAAATGAAATAAATGTCAGAAGCAGTTTTACTGTTTACCAAATTAATTCTGAGTTTTTATTTATACCCTCAGGGTAATGAGTATTACATCAATTTTTATGAGAATTAGTATAAAATTTTTCATAAGATTTAGAATTTGTTGAAAAATGTTTCCAATTCCAATAAAAGGGCGTTTCCTGTTAGGGCATAGCTTACTGTCAATTTAAAAAAAATTCATATTTATTACTACGAACATCATTTTCCATAAATAAATTACTCATTAATTTGCACTTAGCAATCTTAATGTCGAAAATTTTTTGAAGGTAGTTGTGAAAATATAGCTGATATTGATTTTGTTGAATAATTCTACTCTTACATAAAGTAATGACAATCTTTTTGCTTTTTATGCAGTGATGCCATTATTTTTCCTTTAGGGGTTAATAACTGCTCATGAAAACGAAGATGTCGATGCATTCACTGAGGCTGTAAGTCTTGATTTTCCTCTTCTTTATTGGATATCACGTAATATTTTTAGAAGGATTAAGTTGGTCAAGCTTTGACAAAATTGAAGAGTTTTAAATTCCACATACACTACAGTCTTTGGCTGCAATTATGTAGTTAATTCCCAATAACTTATCTAAAAAATCAGGCTGATTTTGGAAACAAGGAGGTAGAATCCACAGTGATATAGAAAATCTAGAAAATATATTCCTAATTATATAAAAGCTATTTTGAATAACGAAGAATATTTTTTAAAATGGATGACAGATGACGATTTGTACCTGTAGGGATTTATTAATACATTAAGAACAGGGGAAAGTGGGTTATAAGAAAAGGGGATAGCGTTTGCAATTTACAATTACGTATTGCCCCAATGTTCCATATTGTCAAAAACCTTAGAGTTTGATAGAAAATGGATGGTTTGATGCACCTACGTAAAACGATCCTGATCCAGTGAGCTGTTGGGCGTAACCCTTCTTGTATGTGAGATGGTAACTGTTAGAAATATTGAAGTTGTTACGGCGCTATCTAGGGGTTTGCCTGTATTTAAGAACCTTTTTGCCTGTATTTAATTCCCTTAGAATAATGGGAATGAGGAACAAGTCACATTGTGCTTTTTCATAGAACGGGGTAAAGTTTTTCTTATCAATTCAAAGAACTTTTCAAGAGTGTTCTGTCCATTCATCCCTTTTTTACTGTAGTTTTTGTGCCTCTGTATACTCTGATTTTATTGACGTACGTATGCATCGTGACTAGTTAACTGTATATTTTGCTTCAAGTGTCATACGTCTTTCAGTCACACACACCTCAGTATTTATAGTGTTTGGCACAATTTCTTGGAACATCCAATAGCTATTTTTTGTTTTTGCTTTCTCATTTCGTCTCTGGAAAATCACCCGCCCCCCTCCTCCCCAAACAATGCTGATAGGATTAACATCATGCTAGTTACACAAGAAGTTTCTTATTGATCTCTTTCGCCACTTTTGTAGTTTAAAATGACAATAGAAACTAATGCTAGTGTTGAAAAACGTTCATTTTTCCTATACTGTTGCTTAGTTCCAGAGGGATCTCATTCTACGTCATCGACTTTCGGAATCGTCTTTGTTAAATCCGTCTATAAAGCCGTGTAACACAAAGCTTTGAAAAGTTGCTCTTCAAACATTTTTGAAAAACACGTCCAAGTTGAGCGTGTTCCGGGTTTTCCACAGCTTTCCACGTAATCACGTACATATTTATCTCTGGAGCTGAGTTCATGTATCTTCGTATGTTTATGCGAATCTTTCCTTAGATGCACTAAAGAAGCCCATACCTTCAATTCTTCAATTTTCTTTTCCTCTACCTTTCGATAAAGTGCATCACAACTTATAAATATAGATGTATATATCTATTCAAAGTCACTGTTTTACCGATCTGTCAGAAAGTGATCGATGTCGTATAGGCAGAACTGTACATGCCTTTAGTGGGCGGTTCTAAGTTGCTACTCCTAGTTTCAAGCTTAATGTGGTTATCAGACAAGCAAATATGTATATATTTGAACTGAAAGCTGGCCTCCTGAAGCATTCAGATTCTCTGGCGGTGTGGAAAACAATGTTACATAAACGCAGTGTCTCATAAACACTTAAATTCAATTTTATTCACGATCTTTTAGGTTTCAGTTTTCTGAAGGATTTACTTTCTTTTTCTCAATTTTTGTCGTTTAAAGTTCTCTTTTTGAGCTGATCGACACAATGCTCAGACCTTTATGTTTGATCTACTTTTCCTCTCTTTGCTTTCGTACTTGGTTTTGAATACCGGTCACCACACTATCTCCGGTCGGTCATTTGGAGACCGGTTATTGAATTACCGGGACTTGGTCTTTAAAACAGGTATTTTAATCTGTCTATTTTCCTCGTTAGATATTTCATTGCCTTCTGCAGTTACATGCTAAAACCTGGCTTAAGAACATTCATGTTTGCATAGAAACAGGGTGACTTTTTGCTGAACATCAATGGACGGTATTAGGAAGCTTGTGTGACTCCAATCTTTTTTCATAATAAAATAAAGATACGGTGCCTAATATGATTTTTACCGTTGCTTTGTGAAACTGGGAATTCAAGGTTCAATGACATGAAGCAAGCAAGGAAAATATATTTTTCTGACGAGATATCGTAGACTCGATTAAAGCTCAAACCAGCCAGTTATACCAATTGACATGTTTCGTCACAAGCAATTTTTTGTTTACCGAAAAATCGTGATGTCAAAATAATTTCAGACATGTGTTGTTTTCAAATGGTTGACCAAATTTTGTAATCCTTCGAAAGAAAGTTCGTTTCTTTTATTAAAGAGACTCTCTCGTGCTGGCTGTGTCCCTGCATTTCTTTTGAATCTTGGAAATTTAAATTCAAATATTCACAAAATTATCCCTTTAAAAAGTCATTTATCTTTCAAAGCACCACTTCACGCAACCAATTCCTCAACTGAAGTCTTTCTTTTCAAGCAGGTGCTCTTAGTTCTATTTATCTGAAATTAGTCTTGTTTTTCAAAAAGCTCGTCATCTTGTTCTCAGTTTGGAGGAACAATATTTTTGACGTCATCTCAATAGGCCGTTAATAATAAATGCGAAATCATTTCGGAAATTTAGTATAGTAAAGCACCGTATGAACTGCCTAAGAATTTCTTCGTTTGCATGCATAATTTGTTTACAGTTTCGCGTCTTGTTGTTTCTTTGACATTGTCGATACCGCGTAGTGCATCTGCTTGCGGTAAACTTGCATTTCAGTTTCCTGTTTTGTAAAGCAATGAATAATGCGCCATGAGAGAAAAGTAGTATTTTCATTATATTTTTTCCCGCAAAATTGTTATCGTCCTTAAACCAAAGAGTAAAGTGACAACAATGTTGTGGACACGTACGGTGTCTTCCTTGATGCTTGTTCGATAAGGTTGAAGGATATAAGTGCCTCGGAATGAGCCTCAAATCATAGTGTTCCTGGCTCGCCAAATCTTCCTGTTGTCAAAAGCATGTACTTATACTGAAATCGGCTACAATAAAGCGCAAAGAAAAAAGTTGACAACCAAGAAGAAACTCGTGTTTAACCCTATCCTTTGAGCGTGGTTAGCACTAATCTAGAGAAATTGCAGCCACCAGGCACCAGATAACGCTGAAGACTACAGACAACTGCCAAAAAACGCAGAAAAGCTGCAAACAGCTACCAATAAAACGGATAAAATCTGCGGGCAATGACTTAAAAAACGCAGCAAAGCTGCATAAAGCCGTCAAAACGTTGAAAGCTGCAGACAGCTAGCTACCAAAGAAATGTATAAAGTTCGCAGCTGGCAAATAATCACGAAAGCATTGCAGGAAACAACTAAATACAGAAACCTGCCTAAGTTAGTGGACGTAAATCAAGCCCGGCGTTCTCTTTTCCTTTTTGACATTTTTCCATGAAACATCGGTTATTCATTTTAGTTGTTCAACGCACACTCTCTATTATGCCGATCAGCAGTTTCTGTCTCTTCCATACCATACTGCTTTCCAAGTTATTTGCTTTGTGCTAATTTGTTTCTTCTAGTTTCTACTGAGTCTCCTTATTCAATTTTTCACAAACAGTCTTTAAAAACAATCCTTAATAGACTGTGATTTCCAGCCAACCCCCCATATGGTGTTAAAAACTCTATTTTACAGCACCGTTCAAAGAGAGAGAAGGTTTAAATCTACTTGATGTAGTGGAAAGACAGCTGGATATGGTTGTATATCGATAGGTCTTGTTTGTTTTAATTATTCTGTCGACTCCTACACAAAGAAGATCAGGCCTGTTTTCTTTTGGAAAATTAAGTATACGCAGATCTATTTCGTTTGAGCAGGACGAATGCACGCAGTTATGTTTTGAAATGGGATAATTCGCAGCAGGGCGAATCTGCTAGCTTCACATTGTCAAAATCAAGACCACAGTTCCTGCATTTCTTATTTTCTGTATAGAAGACTTTGGCCGCCGTTAGAGCAGCTTATTGTCGTTAACTGCACTCATCATCTGTAAGGAAAACTCATCCTGGTAGTTGATGATTTTCTAATCTAAATTCTAAGTTAACTGTAAGCTAAAAATGGGAAAAGATTAGTGATTAATTCAATTAGAATCTTTTAAAGAAAAATCTGATCATTAGTCTCTGAAGAGTATGGGTTTGTCTAGCCCTGCTCAACATCTTTGTTACTTCAGTCCCTTTGCAAAAGAAATTGTTTGCTTTGTGATATGGTTTATCCAGTTGCGCGTGAAGATCTCTTTTCAAGAGGTAGTTGTATTTGGTATGATATAATTTGAGAGGTGATTTATCAGTTGATGTCTCTGTACACCCTTATGAAAATTATTTTGTCTTCCGGAAATACTTAAAAATCCTTATAAAATTATTCAGGGTCAAGCAAGCTTCAATTTTTGTTATGCATCCATGCTAGGCAATTCTGAATTGTAATGGATTGAGCTTTCCCACCACGCAATTTTCTCTTGAAATGGAACCTTTTGAATTGTGGGTACTGCAGTTGCCAGTCTCTTACATGAAATAAGAGTTTATTCATAAAGAGGTTCTTTTCCAAATAAAATACCCCCATCACCATCCGTCGTTTCGAAGCCCCAATCGTAAAGGTTTTCAGCTTTCAAAGAGCACAATACATACATCTTGCACTAAAGTTTGGTTTCGGTAGAGACTAAAGTGTTCACCAATCTCACGTTTACAGTATTTCAGAAACACAGAAGATAGAAGATATGATATACTTGAGATATCTACGTCCCTAAAGTATACTTAATTATGTTTGGAATGTTCTTTGATTTTTCTCCCACCACGGTGTTCCTACTCGGCAATCTGTCTATATTTTACTTCATTGCATGCATTTTTAAAAGTTTCATTGTGTTAGCACCGGGTCTAGGAGAGTAAACTTGTACTTTTTTGTACGTCTTTATCATCCAGAACTCAGTAAGAATTATATCTGCAACTTGATGTCATGTCACCCAATGACAAGGAGATTAGTTCTGATAAGTTCTGATAATGGATGTCTTTAAACAACGCCCAACTTGTTGTGTCAATCTTTAACCTCGCTGTGAGCCCACTACCATTCTGCTAAAGCCTCATTTCCATAAGATCATTATCGGTTAAGCAGATCTTGGCTTGACTCCTGTCATATTCAAGTCAGCACTTATAGGGTGTAGTAATCTTAAATCCTCGGGATTTTCGGTATTGTCTTCATTAATTGCCATTGCATATGCTCCTTTGTCCGTCCTCTGAGCCATCAGTTGCATTCTGGCTGTATTTCATATCGACCGGATTTTTCTGCTGAATATTACAATTTCGGTCAGTTTTGCCATGCAGGATTTCATTTAGCTTGAAATAATTGACCACGATGTAGTCACGTCAAGTTTCCTACGTAAATAACTAATCATGACGGGATTTGAATTCTGTTTTCCGGAGACTGCATAAGATTACTGTAATTCCGTGTCACACTTTCGTCACATTTTTGGCTTTTCTACTGTGCTGTGAAGCTAAACCTGAGACGATAAAGACATACTTAGTTAGCCAATCTTAGGAATTGGCTTGAAAACAACGTTTGAAAACCAGATGATCTCTCCTCTTAACCTCCCTCACCAATAGAGCGAGGTGTTTGGTCAAGTCTTTTATGGACGATCAAAATAACAAAACGATGAAAGATCACAGTAGAGATGTATTATTGCTCAAAATTGTACATATCAAACCTACGATGACTACTGAATAAAAGCGGTGGAATTAATCCAGCATTTCTTATCTTTGTTTATGTATAAGTTCGGCCTGTAATCATTTCACGTTGTCCTTCAAACCTTAGGATTAATTCTTTTGCAGTTTTTGTATCTTGCGCTCACTTGCCTCATTATTATCACCGCACCACCCCCCCCTCCCCCCCCTCCCCCAGGAGAGTGAGAGGTGCTTCTATTAACGTTAATGAGATGGTAGAGCAAGAAAACACACTCTTTACATTTTCATATTTTGATAATCATTCAGGATTTATAACTTAACTGAACGAGGTTACGAAGATAACTGAACTACGCTTTACAAAGCTTCGGATTAAATAGTACTTGTCACGTGATTATAAAAGGTCATGTGATCTGGGGAGCGTCCTACTACAAGAGGATATTGTTCAATTGTATGACATCTACTTCTCATTGTTTTTATCATTCAGTAATTTGATTTGCCAGTTTGCAAATAATTGGCGTACATCCAGAAACATGGACGTGAGTGAGCAATAACACAGAAATATTTTGCTCACTCTATTCAAAATGAATCAGTGTCTTTGAGTTCATTTCTTGGCCTAAATTGTTTGTATTTTCTTCTCAGGTTCGAGAATATGACTCAATATCTCGTTTGGATCAATGGTACACTGCCATCCTTTTGCGAATCAAGAAGAATATTACAAGTGACTTAGACCTGACCTAAATATGGAATAAACCAACCGAAGATGAATCTCGAGATACCGCGTGATTTATATAATTATATAATATATAATTATATATCACATTGCTATGTATAATTAAAGTGCCAGTTATTTCTACGTATCAAGTCGTCTCTTAGTTAAATTTAGTATTCTTGCATGTTACATAAATGAACCTGATTTAATACTTTTCAATTATCTGCTACAATTGTCTACTAGCTCATTATGATAACAGTGATTCTTGGCAAGGGTCTTTTTGGGGGGGGGGGATTAATGGGGGCTTTGGTGGTGCTTTGGGCGCAGAGGCTTCACTTGACGACCGAGTTGACTTGGCTAAACCTCTTTTCCATGCTATTTTTATGTTAATTCCTTGAAAACGTCTGTGAAGGTGCATAGAAATCTGTCTAATCTAGCCAGTGTCTTTGTTTAAATGGCTTTCCTGGTAAGGAGGACAAATGAAGACAATTATGAAGTGGTGTGCTTTATACTTTTTTGCGCTACTTTAGCATCGTATACCTATCTTCCTAAAATCAACTAAAAGTAAAGATCAATCATTCTAATTATCTAAAAATTCAATTTGATAATCTATGTATGCCATTGAATATGATCGGCCTTTAATCATATATCAACAAATCACTAATGACCACGTAGAATGCTTCACAAATATGTTTACTTCATCCATTACTGATGAAAAGTACTCTGATGTCTTTCTTTAATTTTTTGCAGTGTCTCAGGGTTGCTCTCTTAAAAATTAAGGCGGGGTCGTTCTGTAGGCAATTGCTTTAAGCCATACCCAATACCCAACCAGCGTCACATCCCTGCACCCCCCCCCCCCCTAAGAAAAGTTCTTTTTTTTTGAAAAGGGGCTAACCCCCTCCACGGTACCCCTGCTATGTTTGATGCTTAGGCAGCACACATGGCAGAAATGCAACTGACATCTGATGCAATAAGCTTCTCGACAACTACCAATCATTGTTCTTAAAAAATTAAGGCCTAAATTTTTTTGTTTTTGCATCCATCCTGCATTAACCTGAGCATTAATTAGTTCAGCTTACTTTCATTATGTTTATTTTCACCGAGGTTGTCTGAAGCTTTGAAAATTTTCTAGCAATTGCGAAAGTATTGGTAATTTGGACACATACTCGTAATCTTTTGTGTCCTTCAACATCTTATGCTCTCAGAGACGTAAGAAGTGCGTTCGAAACGCAGAAAAGCTGCAGACAGCCACTAATGAGCTGCGGGCAATTATTTAGAATACGCGGAAAAGCTTCAGTGTCACCCAATTTTTTGGTCAATGTCCGGTAAAGTCATAAATATGGGTGTCATCCCCAAATCAGTTCGTCTTTCAGGATTGTGAAAGCTAGAAAATTTCAAATCACAACGCCGCAAACTCCATTGAAGTATTAATCAAAAACAGATGTTTTGAGTATTAAAGACTAAAATCCAAATTTTTGCGCACGGTAGGTCTAGACGATGCATTTTCAAAGCAATATATTCTTACCAGGTGTTGCTCGCTCTTTGACAAATCCTGCCTCATACAAAGGTTTTGCCAGAAGATGCTTTTAAAGGATTATTTCTGTCTTGTGTCGATGTTCTCCAGTCGATTCATTTGTCAGTGACTTTTTTCGAAATGTTGCATATTATTTGCTAAAACATAAAATGTTTGCCGCGCGATTAAATCTTCCATACGATATGTTTAGTTCATTGCGTAGCGTTTTGTTTGTGCCATCTTGTCATCAAGATTTTAATTAAAAGTCCGATACTTTTGCATTATTACAATAATCTCCTTACAGCCAGTGCTTTGCACTCGGAACAATAATTCTTATCCAATTTCTTTAAACTGTTAGAATTTTTGATCCTGTACCAGGTGGCCAATAAATCTTCTATATATCTTCTCAATAAAATACAAGATATTATTGTTCTTCAAGAAACGTAATGCAATTTATCAATAAAAGATTCAACCCAGACTGACTTCTAAAAACAAAGAACCGACTGCTTATGACCGTTTTTCTAACCATGGCGGCATAAAAGCAGCCAGTTTAGTGTCTTTTGTTGCGTATCTGTGTTTATTTTTCTTTTTGCTTTTGCACTAAATGCTTAGTCAGTTATCAGAATTAGAAGATCAGAATTTTCTTAAGCAGGAATGTCGATGATCCGCAGAATATGAAATTGCGAAATTCATTTTATCTTCTGAATTTTCTGGGAAGACGTCGTCTACGTGTTAATCTGGGAAGCGAGGTCATCCATTTTCGTGCGGTGATCTTCTTTCTTGCTTATTATTTCTACGCGGGAAAACCGTGCAGTATTTTATAAGCATTACTTGCAATTATCTGATGTAGAAGTGTGATAGAATTAGAAGCGTTTCGAGTGATCCAGGAGTCGAATTGTCGCACTTTAATCATATGTTAAGCTCAGTCATCCCCGTCCAATACTCACTCACAAGAAATTAGGTTGGAATATTCTTCTACGTTTGGAAGGGATTGGTCATACACATTTCTATGGCCATCACATATATTGCAGTGTGGTGGGAAGAGTGGAAGTATTAGGGTACCAGTTGTTGAAAACAATATGAACAAAAGGGATAAGGATATTGAAACGAAAAAGTAAAGTTGATCCAACACACCCATCATTTCATCCAGCATGCGTTGCCCTTATTTTAACGCCCCCTTGTTTATTCAACATCTCTGCTCTAATTATAAGTGATACTGTTTTTGTCCGCTATTTGGATGTGTCCATTATCTGAATGTGTCCACTTTTTGAATGCGTCCACTATTTGTATGTGTTCGCTATTAAAAGGTGTCCTTAAATGGTAGGATCCATTATAGAAAAGGTCCCGTCATAGATCTACATGGAACAGTAGTTATGGCTCATATGCCAGTGCCTCTATATAATTTTTAATTTATCCACAATAGCAGACATTCTAAAACGGAAACAGATTGCATGGTTGGCAAATCTATAAATGCCCATTGCTCCAGGTTTCCGGTTTAAAATTTTGAAAAAATGCTTCGGCTTGCAGTATGAAAACTTTGAGAAATACTACACTGCAAGTTCCGAGGGGCGATTCACTTATGCAAATAGCGTACGAGATTTTGTCTAAAACAAAAGGATTTCTGGGGATTTTCAGGATGAATGTTCCCTTTAATGTTCACGTTGAAATGAATGAAGGTTCACTTTAAAGGAGCCCGTCTGTTAAAAGGAAGTGTCCGTTAAAGTAAGCTGGCCATTATTGGGAAGTGTGTGCTATTTGATGATAATATCTATTAGGAGCTATCCGTTATAGGAAGATGTCTGCTATGTGGAGGCGAAAATTAATGGAATTTCTTCGTTACTTTAATACAATATCATTGAATACAACTCTTATTACAATACCCTACCAAAAAACTAGGTTATTTTAATTGAGGGTCCTTCTTGACTCATTTAATGCCCCTTGTCCATGAATTACATTTCCTTTGCCAATTTTTTATTGTGACACAGAGACGAGCATATGGAGATCTATTTGCCAGTCATCATTAACGTCATATGCCTGTAAGTCAGTTTCCTTTTCACTTTTTTTCTTTGGTCATCATCGAAGTGGTGACATTTTATAAAGTGACCACAGCTAGCTATTCCGTGGCCAAATGGACGCTATGGAAAAGACTTATCTTATCTAACGTAATTATGCGGTTAAGCATGCTCGTTGAACAAAACATTCGAGGTACTTTCTTCAAAATCCAATATATTCTTACCGCTGCTAACCACATAATCGTTTATTGCTTTCATGTTTCAACAGAAAGCTTGCGTAATGCACGAGTAAAGCTGAGTCATTTCTGTAAACGTTAGATATGTTAGTAAGTTGGTAGGTAGTCCTCCGCAATCGTCCTCCGCAATCGTCCTCCGCACTCGTCCTCCGCAATCGTCCTCCGCAATCGTCCTCCGCAATCGTCCTCCGCAATCGTACATCTATAAGTCATTTCTGGTGTATTTTCGGCTAATTTTGTCAGAAAATTTTGTCCGGCCACTTTCTTCGGCAACTTCGTAATAGTTTTGGCTTTCCACGATAAAATTTGTTTGGAGAAAATTAAGGAAAGTGAAAATTTTAAAAGGACAATTATCTCTTCAAAATAACGTTATTTTTAAGGAACAAATCTCAGGGAAAGTACCACTTAGTTTGTTAATTTTTTGCTGGTTTTTTATAGTTTTTAAAGGTTTGTTAAATACTGAAATGCTAGAGAGCTGATTTTTTTTAAGAAACAAGAAAACGTAACAGGAGAAAACATGTAATTGAACAAGTGACATGTAGCAAGAAGTTTTTCTGTCTGTAACTTAGGCCATTAAAGTAGCATACAGTATACTCCCGTTCAGCCTTCAAAGGACATAGAAAATTTGTCGCACCTAGCCAATGTCCCTGTTTACATGGGTCTTCCTGTAAAAGGGAACAAAAAAGACATCATATAACAATCATTAAGTGATATGTTAAGTACTTTTCTGAAGTTCTAAAACATCATATACCATGATTCTTTATGATATTACAGTATATGTATGCCAATAAGGATCTTTAGAGGGATTATCAAGCAGTTTGCTAAATGTTGAGTACGATAACTAATGCTGCTGATAGTGACAGGGTTTCGCTCATGTCAGACCCGTGATTTGTGGCTCACATTATGTTGCTTCCCAACCAATGTGATAATTATTATATGCCCAGGGTATTGCCTTGAACCCAGTCCTCTTCCCGACAGCTATAACACTTCTCATGGTTTCAATTCAAAATGCACTTGTCCACGACAGTGAATGAGTTAGTTAGTTTCTAACTCGCTAAGCTGTTGTAACTTTAATTGTAAATAGATTTCTTGAGTGTTTATACAAGGAGGACGTCAATCTTTGCATTTTTGGCAAATTTCTGGCTCAGAATTTTGTCCCCACAACAACCAAGAAATGGACACCCCGAAACATTAATCAGAAGTTAAAAGACGTTGAGTGCTTACCTGTTGTTGTTGCTGTTATTGTTTTATAATATCGGGCAGATGCCCTAGGTATGGCTTATCTAATCTTAACAATCGAATAATTGTTATTTCCATTTAATATTTCAACGAAACTCAATGGTGAGGTTAATAAAAAACTATGGCATTTTATTGAAAACCTCTGAAAAGAGCAAAAATAAAATTTTCTGTCTGATCTTTGACACTTCCTAGACGGTTGAACGGTCCTT